TCCTCCCCGTCGGGGTGCACCTGCAGGCGTCTGTGTCTACACCATGCCGGCTCCAGCCTCTGCCTCCCTGTGGGGACTGAGGAGCCCAGGGCTGGGGCATCACCCACAGGGAGCCAGTAACACTTGCTCACACTGGTCTCTAGTAGCAGGGAGCCTGGACACAGAGACCAGTGGAGGGTCTGACACAGGGTTCCTGGGGGTCCGGACACCCCAGGCCAATGACAGGAGTCCAGTCTCCACCTCCTACTCTTGTGACTGGGGCTAAGGCCAGGGGCTCAGAGGTTCGAGCTGTGATGAGGCCATCGCTGGATCAGGTGAGGGCCTTGGGGCCTGCCTTGGGTGACAGGGATGATAGCAGTGTCTGCCACTAAGATGGGGACAGACGGTGTTTCCTTGGTTCCTGCCAACTCGTCCCCAAAGAAATGAGTCCAGCAGAAGTCACAAGTCACCCTGTGAGCCAGAAGCTCTGTCTGGGGCTGATCCTCAGCCATCTCTCTGTGGGCCTCGGGGAGTAGCTGAAGGGCAGGGACCGTCAAGGTGGACGTGGGGAGTGCGGACCCCAAGGCGGCCACACGCGGAGGCCGAGCCAGAGCCAAGGGGCCTGCAGGAATGGTCACCACGAGCTGAAACATACCAGGTGGGGAGACGCTTAACTGGAAAGTGCACCGTTTCTGGGTCCACAGCAGCCGGGTGGGAGGGCTGCAGGTGAGTCTGGGAATCGGAGGTGGGTGTGGCAGTGCCTGACAACACCCAGCTTTGTTAGGGGGTCCCCTGTGGGCAACCATCACAGGCCCTTAAATCAAGGGAAACAAACATGATGTTTTCTTGGTTCAAAACAGGTTTATAGCAGAATATAGTGGCTCACACCTGTAGTCCCACAAGCTCAAGAGGCACAGCAGGAGGGTCCGCTGAGGCCAGGAGTTCAAGACCAACCTGGGCAGCACTGGGAAACCCCGTTTCTAACAAAACCAAAGCAAAAGCAGGTTTCTGAGGGAGGTCTGGCCGGAAGGAAGCTATCGTTGCCACAGGAAGGGCTCGAATCACCACCCAGCACAACAGCCACATCTCAGGTGTTTTCCTGTCTATGCGCCACGTTCCTAGGGTTGTACATGTGACGACAGGCACACATTTGGTTTTGTGAGCCAGGACTCCTGGGCGGCGCCTCGGGCCCCTCGGCCCGCCGTCTGCATCAGACGCTCCCATTGCTCAAGCTCCTCGCCGGCCCCTCACCAGGCTTTGGTGTTGTCCGACTTTTGAATTTTGCCTGTTCTAGTCGGAGTTCACGGTTTCCCACCGTGCTCGCACTCTGCACACCTGCGATGACTCACGGCGTTGGAGGGTGTCTCACCTGGTAACTGGCTGCTTTTGTGTTGCTTTGTGATGTGTCCGGCGTGTTGGCCTGTTCTTACGAGATTGTCTTTTCGTCACCGGATGGCAGGTGTTCTTGCCAGACGTTTACTCTGAATGTTCCCTCCCGTTTTGGTCTCTCTGTCTGAGACCACCCGTGCCCCCAGGTGCTCTGCTTGTCCTGGATTCTGCCCTCAGTTCTGCCCTCCGTGCCTTGCAGTCCGCTTCCCCAGGTTCCAGCTGCAGAGTTTCTTCTGAAGGCGCTGGCCGCCAGCCTCTGACAGCCTGGAGCCATCACCTGCTTTTGCATTTTCAACATTTCTCTGCACGTTGGAGAAGGTTTGCATTTTATTCCAGCAGTTATATCTGTACTTAACCCTTTTTAAACACCTCTAGTCCCCGGTGTAGCGCCCACACAACCATCAGGGAGATTACTGTTTTCCTGTTTTTCTTTCCCCTTTCCCCTCTTCCCATTTGTTTTTATTTTTGAGACAGAGTTTCACTGTTCTTGCCCAGGCTGGAGTGCGTGGCGCGATCTCTGCTCACTGCAGCCTCTGCCTCCCAGGTTCAAGCCATTCTCCTGCCTCAGCCTCCTGTGTAGCTGGGACTACAGGCATGCGCCACCATGCCTGGCTAATTTGTGTCTTTTCAGTAGAGACGGGGTTTCACCATGTTGCCCAGGCTGGTCTCGAACTGCTGACCTCAGGTGATCTGCCCACCTCGGCCTCCCACAGTGCTGGGATTACAGGTGTGAGCGGAGCCAGGCTCCTCCTCACATTTTTTGTTACATTGTTTCTACTTAGGTCAGAGGATGAACATTCGCATCTAGTTTCCACCCCACCCCTATCCCTGCGCCTCCCACCTGCCGTCACAGCCAGCGTCCACCATCACGGCTCTGTCGGAGGCGTCCGGTCCCCGTGAGGCTGCGTTGTCAGAACTGTGCTCCCCAGCCTGGCACTGGAGGAAGCATCTGGCTGTGCAGAGCGTCCTCGGTTCACGTGCCGTTCCGCGGCTGCCTCGTGTGTTCGTTCTCAGAGGCCCAGTGTGCGTCGATCTTGTCCTTGGAAGCTGTGTGACCTTCTTGCCTGGAGACTCTGATGATTGTTTTTATTGCTGGAGTCCAACAGTTTCACGAGGATTTGTCTCTGGTTACCCGACGGGGCTTCTCAGTGTGTAGAAAGGCAGATCGGCTTTTGTTCCTGGAGGCTTTTCGTGGGTGGCACCGTTTCGTTTTTCTGTTTTAGACTCCAGCTCTACGCTGGTGAGGTTTTCTCAGTCTCCGTTTCAACCACGTGCTCTCCACCCTTTCACTTCTTTCATTATCAAATTTCTATTTTCCTGGTGATGTTCCCACCTTTCTTCAGTAGCCCTTACTACATCTTTACTAAAATCTATCTTCTCTTAAGGATCTTGTGACTTAGTCTTCGCTTCTCATATATTTTGTTCATTTTTGGTTTTTCTCCTTGAGGCAGGGTCTCACTCTGTTGTGAGGCTGGAGTGCGGTGGCTCAGTCTCAGCTCACCACAACCTCTGCCGCCCAGGTTCAAGCAATTCTTGCCCCTCGGCCTCCTGAGTAGCTGGGACTACAGGTGCCCAGCACCACGCCTGGCTACGTTTTTCCATATTTTTGGTAGCGACAGGGTTTTGACGTGTTGCCCAGGCTGGTCTCAAACTCCTGGGCTCACGCAACCACGTCCCACCTCCGACCTCCCAAGTGCTGGGATTAAAGCCGTGGGCCACCACACCCAACCAATGTTGGCCGTCCTTAAAATTTCTTTAGTCCAGTTGACCCAATTTTACATGAAAGCTTTATTGAGGTGTAATTCACATGCCATACAATTCTCCTATTAAAATGTGCAATTCATGCTTGTTAGCTAATTTATAGGGCTATACAGTCACCATCTACCATCTCCCTAGAATGTTTTCATCCCCCGAAAAACACCTCTTGTTCCCAGGAGTACAGCGCATCTGCCCAGCACCCGCCAGCCCTGGCCGAGGCCTGCACCTTCCTCAGTGTCTGTTTACGTCCACCCCAGAGGGGCCAGGTTGCCCTTAGTCTTGGAGTTTCTGATTCAAGCTGGGTTTCCACCTCCTCCCCACACACCCCACCCCACAGCCTGAAACACACGTAGAGGTTGTGGAATTACAGCGTTTTTTCTGTTCCTGGTTTGGGGGTTTGTTGTTATTGTAGTGGGAGAGGCTGAATTTTTATCCTCGGAAGTGTCTGCAGGTTTTAGTTTTCTCTGTTGGTTTTGGTGCAGAAGAGACTTCATGTTCCTGAGTTCTGAGAGCTGCAGTCACTGGGCCCCGGCTCAGGCTCTCCCCCTTCTGTCCCCAAGTGGTGACTGCTGCTTCCTCCTGGAGGTGCGTGC